ATTCACAAGTAGTTTAACTTCCTTGAAGCAACGTAGTGGATGAAACAATGAATTGTTGATGTAAATAAAGGATTCAGTTAATATTAGAATTTTTTTGAAAGAATATTTGTGCAGTGATGTTTGAACCATTAAAAACATGTTCTCATTTGAACTACCTCATGTAAAGAATATTTTGAGATTCAATTACGCTGAATACCATCTCATCAGATCAACATTTTTATCTCTTCATGTCTCATATGAAAGAGAACGATCTCAAAACTGTTTGTCAAAGGTGTTAATTGAAAAAAAAAGTTGTGCGTGCTTCCAGTTAACTCTTTCTCATTCTTCATTAATTGGAAATGAAGTCAAAAATTTTCAAGTCAAGGTAACAATACTCTTCTGTAAATCGGTGTAATTTGAATTGTAAGCTATACTAAATGTATTCGTAATATATATTTTGAATTATGGCTAATGAATTTGAGATCATATAAAATACTGCAAACTCTTTTATATGGCGATGATTTAAAACGCATCAAGCTTTGACATAAAAATAAAATTTTACTTCGTTTCGAGTTGAAAGTGGTGGATTGATGAAATCAAAGCAATGGCTAGACAAGCACGAAAAAATATATGTTGATACAGAACATCATGAGAAGGAGAAGCGTCGCGGAAACACAAAAACATACACCACAATAAAACGACCACCCCACAATTAACTCAGTAATTTTCACAAAAAAACTAAATCGAATGAAAATGTTATTTCTTTTTACAACGTTACATACGAACCAAATTTTGTCTACAGCCGTGCTGAATCGAATCGTAGTTATATTCAGTGTGTGAGGGTTAAGGTTCTCCTAGGTTAAGACTCCCCTTCTTAGGGTTTAGCTCATTTTAATTTGCTAAAAATATAACAGTTTTAAATGTTGTGTACATTTATGATTGTTTAGCTTTAAATATTAATGTTTAGAACTTTTTAATTTGCTAAAAATATATATCATATATCCGTAAATTTAAAAAACAAAAACTATTAGTATAAAGCGAGTATTTTTACATAATCATATCAAGATTATCGTAGTAACTTTTACTAGAAACCAAATCGAATTAATATTTTTTTTTCAATGTTACATACGAACCAAAATTTTATATAGCCGAAATTAAAAAAAAAATTGTTTTAAATGTTTAGAATCTTTTAATTTTCTAAAAATATAAATGATATATCTATACTTAAAAAAAATATTAGTATAAAATGAGTATTCGATCATAACATTTTCTTTTATAAATCTATGGATATTCTTTTCGTTTTAGGGTGCTTATCAACTTGAACGGAATTTTACTTATTTTTTAATCCAATTTTAGTGTTTTTTTAATTGGCTTTTTTTTATCACATTTTAATATAAAATCTATTATAGTTTTCTAAAAGTTTGATGTCCGTGCTGGGCGCGGTGCGGGTACCTCTACTTGCTATACGTAAAAATATATTAGTACAAAATAAGTATTATATCATAACATTTGATCTTATTGTTGTAGTAACCATACCATGAATGTGTAGTAGCCGTCAATAACAGTGCTACAAATTGCTGAGTTGATATATTTGTGACAAGTTTGTATCGAATTGTAGCTAAAAATTGTTACAAATAGTTGGCGTGGCAAAATTTGTAAGTATGTTGAACAATTCTTGTAGTGGAAGCTGTTGGATGGTATTTTAAAAGTGTAATGGATGATTCTGTATCCATTCTTTTAAATATTGTCGGTGAGGATGAATGTAAGAAGATTATTGCTACTGCACATCGTGTTTTGGCATGTCGTGGTTTCGAATATGTTTCGGTGTTTAGTTGTTTTATTGTTATATAGGTTTGTTGTAATAATTTTAGATTATCTTAGGTTAATAATTTTGATTCTATAATTTATGAAAATATATTGTATTTTTTATATACCTTAGCTAATTATTAAGTGTAATATTTTGTTCTTTTAATATTACGATAAATAATATCTGGAAGCAATGGCTCAAAAGTGGACCTGCTATGGGGCCAACAAATTAAAGTGTATTTATTAATAGAAAAATGGGCCACAATCAAAGTGAGCCCACATTAGCCGATCCTTTTGACTTGATGGCCGTTGACGTTGACATGGACACCGTACGCCAGACTCCAAACACTTTCCCTTTCTTCTTCCTTTTTACTCTCTCATCCTCTCATGGCGATGCTTTCTGCTGTGGGGAGCGTCGACGTTCCAGATATGTCTGGATTTGGTTCTACGGAGGTCGTTTTCGATCCCTCACCGTCGTCCCCCGAGGGATCGCGCTCCAGCGTCTCACCTGATCGCCCTGACCCTTCCACTTCTTCTCCAATCCCTAGTCATCAGGTTCTTTTCCTTTTCTTGCATCGAATTTCAATTGCTTTGTCTCTTCTGATCTGGATCTTATTTACTGCTTCTAGTCTGAAGTCATATCGAGGAGTGAAGAGTATCGCCAATTATTTCGGCTTCCAGCTGACGAAGTAAGTATTGCTACTCTCTTCTTCCCTAGATCCCTCTCTGCGTCTCCACTGACCTTTTCTTCCCAAATTTTGTTAGGTCCTTATTCAGGATTTCAACTGTGCTTGTCAGGAGAGTATTCTTCTGCAGGTAGAGTTGATGTTTACCCCATACCTCTAATTCCTCTTAAGTTGGGGGAGTTTATAATATCTCTCTTTCTTGCAGGGTCATATGTACCTCTTCCTTCATTATATCTGCTTTTACTCCAACATCTTTGGCTATGAAACCAAGGTACTGTTCACTCCTTTTACTCCATACTTAGTTTGTCTCCACTGAGTGTTACTTCTTTATTCATCGCAACTCGTTCTGCAGAAAATTATTCCATTTGCAGAAATATCTTGTGTTAAACGAGCAAAGACTGCTGGCATTTTTCCCAATGCCATTGAGATTTTAGCTGGAGGGAAGAAGGTACCACAAGTTCACTTCAGCTGCTGATATCATAGTCTGTACTGGATTTTGGTTGTCCTGATTATAGAACCGCATTCTTTTGCAGTACTTTTTTGCATCGTTTCTTTCCCGTGATGAAGCTTTCAAGCTTATCCATGATGGATGGTTGGAATATGGCAGTGCTGTCAAAGCAGAAGGCGAGATTCAGGTGACCAAACAGCTGGTGGCAAACACACTGTTCATTATTGCTTTAAGCCT